TGTCGGGCTGCGCCCAGGACCCTCCGTCTGTGATACCCAGGCTCGAGGACGTACCCAGGCAGAGGAAGAGACGAAGGGTCAGTTCTCTCCTTGAGTTTTCTGAGAAGTAAATCAAGTGGATTACAATATTTTTTCTAGAACTGAAAAACCTATATGACTCCCTGAGCTGCTCTGTCAGCCTTCACAAGGGAACCTACCTTTCTAAGCACCCGCGGCCCACCAGTTTCCTGGGCAGGGAAGGGGAGGTGACGGGAGGCTGCCGGGGTGGCCGTCAGAGAGGAGCCCGAGCACGTGCACCGGCCAAGCGGGCGGCAGGAGCCCTGCGGCTGCACCGAGGCCGCGGGCGGCCGCGTGGAGGTGGGGAGGGAGGGAGGCTGACTGGTTCCGGGGAGCAGGTATCCTGTGCCCCGGGTTGCTATTCATGTCCCTACACCTACACTCCCAAGACCCACACAGTTGGCTGTCGCAGCCTTTCAGAAGCATTTCCGTGGGAGCCAAGCTGTCCTCTTTCCAGTGCATCAGCGGAGGCAGGGCCTGGGCGCCGGCCGCTCCCCGACCTGTTGCTTCCCCTGGAGAGGAGGAAATGGAGACGGCTTTGCCTTGACGAGGCCCCGCCTCCCGCCTGGAGTCCCCCCTGGGTCTGGAGTGTGTGAGGGGCAGGAAAGGCTCTGAGTTGCTGGAGAGGCTATTCACCTGGGGACAGTGGTTCGTCCCTCTGGGGCCTTTACCTCCACAGCACGGAACCCAGTGTGAGCCATCAAAATACAGAGCACAGGACAATTCCATCTGGAAGCCACGAGGTGGGCTGAGCAAACCAGATGCCCAAATGCCTGGGGGGGGGGCTATGGGGCCCACAACAGGCCAGGTGGGGTCTGAGGCTGGAGAGCACAAGTGGTGAGCAGGGCATCCCCGTGGAGGGGGGCCTGGGCGGGAAGGTGAAGGCCACGGTCGGGAAGGCCTGTGTGCAGGGGCAGGCCGGCTCCGCCCACCGGAGCCTGAGCCCAGAGAGGAGGTGCCCCTGTTGGGGGCTGCCCAGCACCGGGGTCAGAGCCCAGCATAGGTGGCAGGTTGCATGGGCCAGAGGAGGTGACAGCGGGCAACTTCACCTACAGAGACTGATCCAACATGTACACATATTAAGAATGGGAGCCAGGGTGTCACTGTCAGAGAAAGGAGTCACAAAGAAAAGGGGGGAAAGATGAAAGCAGGCCCTGAGACACTGAATTAGACGCAGGGGCGTCATGTGGACGCCTCCTTGATGTGCGTAGATGGACGCGGAAACACGCTCTGCAAGTGTGCTTCCACACCCCTGACGCTCACACACGAGTTCCCACTGAGACAGCCCGGGGGCCCTGACACCCTAAAATCGATGAGCACACCTAGCCCCACATCCACTAAGTGGACCCAAGACTCCTTGGAGAAGCCACTGGACCGAGAACAGAGATGTGGAAAGTGCGAGATGAGCCTGGAAAGTCTTGTCAGAAAATGAGACTGTGAAGGAAGCCGTGGAAAGGACACAAAAGGCAGCGAAGATGCTCCAGGTTTTCTTTTCCCATCTTGAATGGGCAAGTCCAGAGGCTCCCGCTCAGCCCCTTCTGCCCAGGTCAAGGGCTTTCCTGAGGACCATGCAGAGCGATCTGGCCTCCTTGTGAGCCAGCAGAGCTGGACCCCGAGATGGAGGTCAGGGCTCCTGGGCCATGTCTCCCCTACGCAGGCTGGAAGGAGGCCTGGACTCAGCTCCCGGCCCCACCCGCCGCCGCCCCCCTCACTTCCCTGCTACCTCCTCCACCCACGTCGGACGACCACCGTCGGGCCTCCACCTGGTCCACCAGCCTCGCCTGGCCTCCTCCTTCCCTCCTC